AATATTTAAACAAAGAACTCAGTAATTAAACTTACCCCGACCCGGGACTCGAACCCAGGACCTTCGGATTTGCAGCCGTACATACTAACCACCGAGGTAGTTGTTGAGTCTGATCTCTTACTTCGGTGAGATTGAAAGGAGAATGTACTTGTGTTTGCATTAAGCTAGTATCAGAAATACATTAATTATAACAAAATTATGTCTTTATAATATTATCTGTAGAAACCCTTGGCCCATGGAGTCAAAGTACCGGTGACAGGAGAGCTGGCACGATCTTTGCCCAAAGCATCGGCATTGCCATTCAGCGGGAGAATGCGGCGAACATTCTTGCCACTGTTCCACGCGGACATGACTTGTACAGTAATAATTAAGTATACATTTGTTTTGTATATGGGTATTTCTCCGAGATTGCGTTCTTATAATATATAATTATAAATATTTGCATTTTCCTTAATTGAAAATAATAAAAAAGGTACCTATATTAATCTGTGCTTAATATTATAAATGCGAAAGTGGGTTTGTCTGTTTGTCCTTTATTCACGTCGAAACAGAGCGATGGATTCGCGTGATTTTTTGTGTGGAGATAGTTTGAGGGCTGGAGACTGACATAGGCTAGTTTTTACCGCGAGAAATTATTTAATTTCCACGGGATAATACATTATAACCTAACCTAAACAGAACGAAACCGAGCGAATCGAGGGTCTTATTAGCTAGTATTATTATAAATGTACCGAGTTACGATTTCGTTCTCACAACTCTTTAACAAACAAGCTAGTGAGCCGTGAGTCACCGTTCCCTATTCCAGCTCTACGATACAAGGATAGAATAAATGGAGTGTCTTAAATGTATGTTTGTGGTCTTGAATCAGGGTCTTAAATTTCATTCAAATCCGTCCAGCCGTTACAGAGTAAAGAAGTAACAAACATATAGATAGACCGATATAAATTTCAACTACATATATACTTCTGTATACATATAATTTTTCAAAATCGGTTAAACATTCAAAATGAACGCACAAATTTCATAACAATCGAAGCCCATCCCTATTTTTTGCCGCCGACGCAAACTTTTTTTTCTCAAATGAGCGTCTTGAAACTAACAAGCTTTGTTCTATATCTACGGATAAATTTCTCACAGCTTAAAATTTCTGTTCTTAGATTTACTTCACTCATTTTGATTCAATTTTAACGAAATATTAACTATAATAATAAACTTATAACATAGTTTGTGTAATATAGCAACTATTATAAATGCGATAGTTTATGTATGTTTGTTACTCTTTCACGATGTAACGCCTGAGCCGATTTGGATGCAATTTGATGCACAGATAGATTATAACCTGGAGTAACACATAGGCTACCGTTAGGCAGCTAAGGACGCACCCGAGTGAAGCAAGGGTGAGTTACTAGTGCACGATTATACACATTTATAACTAACAATTAGCTTTGTTCTCCCAAAAATATGTCAAGAACGCGTATCCACTTAACGAACTTACATTCAAACAGACTTACATACGTTTTTAATATATTAGCGCTTGTAACTCAACTATAGTTCACCTGAACCTCATACATCAAACAAGTTTAACACCATGCTAACTATATTAGTAAGCCATAAAACATACCATAAAAGTATTCTATTCCGCCAGCATACTTCACATCACATTCACAACACTAAATACACATATTTTGATAATGTTTTCATAATTTTAAACAATTTTATTGTGCGTTTAACAGACGCGTCGCGTTTTGACTGCGAACTGAAGGCAGGCATATTTTTACCTGCGAGTAAAAAGTTTTGTACCGCTTTCATTGATTTAAGTAAGAAAGAATCTTATTCTGAAAGAATAAGGTTGAAATTCTATTGCTTCATTAAATTGCATTAGTGTAGCCATATTTAAAAATTAATTTAACGGAAATTGGATTTTGTTGTGTTGTATTAAGGTTGATTTTTCCTTAATAATTAATATAAAAGCTTAATCTATTTGTATGTATGTGGTGGGCAGTTGTTCCAAGTCAAAGCTTCTCAAAGTTATTTGACCTATTTTAATTTTGATTTATTGTTTCATTTTTAGTGAAAGAGATGGATGAATCGGAATCTGGATGTTAATTGGGTTTTTTTCATAGTAAAATAAAATATTGTTTTAAAATTTTAATTTTCGTTTACCATTTTTGATATAATATAATAGTTAAAGATATATGAAACTATCACTTTTGATTTTTGCTATTTATAATTTTCTTTTTTTTTCTTTCTTTACATTTTTTTTTATTCCGCCATAACTTCTAATGCCTCAGGCAATTTGAGGTTAATTCGTTCATGGTTTGATGTATTGCTAGAATCATTATGTTATAAGATAGTGAAAAAAGGCTGTGTTTACCAAATATATAACATGTAACTTTTTATAAGCTGATCAAATTTCTCCCCTGTAATTATTGTTTTAGTTATTGTAATAGTTATTTATGCTGTAAGGATGTTTTTCTAGACATTTTACATTATTTATGCATATGAAAGTGAAATGCATTTACTGAATGATCACGAACTCTCGAAACCTACTTAATATTTTAAATAAAACTGTCTTTCCGGAATCTTGCGATGGTAAATGTTTTAATTTTTGACAGCAATCATGATCACAGGAGTCTCTCCCGAGTTCGTTTTATTTAAAATGTCAAATATTCACGTAAATCTAAGGTAGTATTATATAAGCTACTTGGAGGATTATAAGTTAGCTTATAAGTAAGAAACATCTGTTAAGTTCATCAAGTCTATTATAAACTTCTACGAAAATGGGATTTTTTGAAGCTACAGACATAAAAATCTGTTATTTAGGTTACCAAAAATCAATTACGCGGGCAGAGCCGCGGGCAACGCTAGCTGTCGCATAATGCAAACCGAAACTATCGTATAGAGTTTTTGTTTTTCTATCTATTTTATTTCACTAGTCGAGTAGTTCTTAGTTATTATTATGAAATACTTTTATGAAACGGTTACCATGGCAACACGGTAATATATTGTATCTCATTCTCTCGCCGGCTTAATCCCAACATATTTGTGTTTGTCTCTTTCTGGTGTCGCATTTTCGTTTTATCGAGTTTCAAATCACAACGATTCTAAAGAAGTTTCACTTCAAAAATATGAGTTAGGTATGACTAATAATTTGTTGAAGCCCCAAGTCGCTATAAGCCGAAGACGATATCTGTGATCTTACTTTTAATATTACGTGTTTCTGTAAAAAAGATTTATTATTAAATAAGTAATTCTATAAAACTTCCACTTAAGTCTAAAGTACGCAATCCAAAAAAATATGCAGACAAAGCCACAAACTGTATGTAGTATTACAATAAATTAGAAAGTTACATATAAAATAAATTATTCAACAGTACATCATAGTTATGTAATACCGTAACAAAGTTTGAGAAGCGCTTGCCAGGACCCGTAGTCCCAAACCAGTTTGCAGAGAAATAAAACTGGCCCCAATTTGATATAAATTAACTTATTTCGATTGTTATCTAGCTTTAGGATGAATCTTCTAACATACAAACATATCAAAGGCATAATATTCATAATCGATACTTCCATACTACCCATACTTTTTAATATTATAAATGTGAAAGTGTGTTTGTTTGTTTGTCTTTTTTCACGTCAAACAGAGTGTCGGATTGGCGTGATTTTTTGTGTGGAAATAGTTGGAGGGCTGGAGAGTGACATAGGCTACTTTTTACCACGAAAGAATATCTCATTCCCACGCGAAAACACATTCGAATACAAACTAAATTCTACATGATCAGAATTACTTGAAACTTGGTATCAATACAATTAAATAAATACATATTTTTGCATTTTTCAAAGTTCATCCCATAAGGGGGTAAAATAGGGCATGAAAGTTTGCTGAGAAAAAGAAAAAAGTTTGCAAAGAAAAAATAACTAAATATCAATAAGAAATGAAACTATATTCAAATATATGTACTATAAACAGTTTTGAATCGTCAATTTAATGTAAGCGTTAGTGTAGTCGGTCCGCGAAGAAGCTACCACCAGCTCGGTAAGCAGTTCTGCTGAGAAGAGCCCAAGAGAAACTCAACAGTAATTTTAAATATCGAAGTTACATTAATAAACATATTATGGAACCCCGCATACGAGTCATATAAATTTACAAAAATTAAAAAACTCGATTGCGTTAAAAGCTAACTAAAACTCTTTAAAAATGTGCTTTCATGTTTGGTTTGGTATAATAGACAAATCTTTAGTGTTTATTCGATCATAATACAAAATTAGCTGGACAGATTTTAATTAAAAAATTTTATTGTATAACTAGCAACTCACCCTCTCTTCGTTAGGGTTCATTCCTGTTGCTTCCCCATACAATCTTTAATCCCCATTTTCACCCTCCTTAAAAGATGATAAAATATAAAATCTAACCTATGTCCTTCCAAGGGTCTCAAACTATCTTCTTAACAAATTTCATATAAATCAGTCCAGTAGTTTCGGAGCTTATTCCGTACAAACAAGCAAAAAAAAAATCTTTCCTCTTTATATTAATTAGTATAGATTAATTTACAAAAATGCTTTTGACTAAGTACAAATAATGGGACTAATACATACGAATGAAATGAGCCAAAGCACAAATAAGTTTTATCAACCATTTACACATCAACTCAACGCTTACATTATAATCCATACTTATAAATGTAAAGGTTTGTGAGGATGGATGGATGTTTGTTACTCTGTCACGCCAGAACTGCTGAATGAATCTGGATTAAATTTGGCACAGAAATAGATTATAGTCTGGAATAGAACATATGTTACTTTTTACAGACGGTAATATATTATTTTAATGTATTCAAATAAAACAATGAAGTATGATATCAGATTTATTCCATTTTCTACTTACAGCTAGCTAGTAACACAAAATTTAAATAAACTGACAATTTCAAAGAATGGTAAAACTGTTAATGTGCCACAGATACCAACATTCTGTATATTTTCTGTTCCATTTTTTTAAATTAAGCACTGCTTTTAGGTTTTGGCATCCATGCTTCAACTTTAGGTGTGGTGGTACTGTATGGGACGTACTGCCCAGTTGTCCCGGACATATTTTCTGTAAATTCTGCCATCCATTTGTATTTAGGTCTGCTGGGATCCTACAAATATAATTAAATAAGGTTTTACTTAGCATGCATTATAAAAGTATGTATTTAGGATATTTTTATGTCCCACTGCTGGGGGTGGGCCTCTCTTTAATACAAGGGGGATCAGGCCATAGCCCACCAAGCTGGCCAAGAGCGGGCGAACTGAGCATGTCTGCAGACAACTTGCTAGGTTCTCTCAGACATGCAGGTTTCTTCATGATGTTTTCCTTTACCGTTAGACAAGTGGTATTCATGTTAGAAATGATTCTCACTGAAAATATAGTCCGGTACATCAATATCATATATTGTAAGCTAAACTTTTTGGACAATAAAGATTATTATTATTATTATTAAAATGTGTCCTTAATTTTTCATACTATAATTTATATTCCATTTTTAAGTTTAATCTGATATGAACATATTATTATCTACATATGTTTTTGTCAAATTATCATTATTTTTTGTAATAAATTATTGTATTTTCATCTGTCTCTGTAAAATGTGCAAAGTTTCAGATCAATCTGAAGTTTTGAAGCAGGTGAAAATCGAATTTACATAAAAAGGGAAAAAAAAAGCACCTTAATAATAAAAACATTGTAAAAACGACTAGTATATAGGTGTAGTATACAATAATTATTATTCAAAGTAATTACCTGATGAGGAGGAAGATCAGTTTTGTAATGCAGCCATCCAAACCACTCAGCGGGGACCTGGAATTGTATTTTATGTATTTATACAGAATTTATATACATATATGTAAAGAAAAGTAATTATTAGTTTTAATTATTGTTTGTTAATTAAATAAATAATAATTAATCATATATGTATGTACATAATAAATAATCATTTATATAGAGAAATAATGATTACATTTATTTAAGGCATCGCGAGAAAAGAAACATATTGTAAATATAGATAAGATATGTTTAAGTATGTCTTTAAAATGTAAGAAAGGTCAGAAATAAAGGCTTTATTTTTTATTATTATTATATATTATAGCATACCTGACTACCATCATAGTTCATGTGAAAATTGTCAGCATATTCCACCCAACGATTTCTACTGTAGAAGTAGCGAGGGTTCTCATAGTATTTATTGCCAAATTTATCTTCACCTACAAGAGTGCCATCTTTCAGCTCATCTTGCCTGGAAAGTGGTAATAACAGGAACTAATTAAAGAAAAATGTTTAGAATTTAGATTGAAAAAGGAGTTGCTTCAAATAAACTGTTTATCACAATTCCATATGGTATATAAATACCTGTCCTTCTATAAATAGCTTAACTTGATTACTTTATTATGAAATTACAGAGTAATGAAAAGTGTAAAGTACTAGTAAAAGTATGGTCTATTTTCTGCCCCTACTATTATGGAAAAAATATTTTTCATCAGTCTTTGCCTTTATTTCTTGCTTGCTGTGTAGTTTATACAGTATTTATTTTTATTGGGTTAATATTTCAAAACATTGTAGGCAGCTTATAGCAATTCAATTTCATATGCTCATAATATCGCAAGTCTAAAAGCTGTATAGTTTAAACTTATTGTAGCAGACTGCAGAAGTTTATATTCTACCATATAATTTTACTTAGGAAAAAATTACAGCTTGGAAGTAATAAAAGAAATCAATAACAGACTAGATCTGAATTATAACCAAAAAATTACATAATAATGCAAATATTGATTCACCTGTAAAGCTTCCACAAGGACCCACGAATGCCTCCATTTTGCTTAATAATGTTAAAGAACGTAACAACTTTATCCAGGGCAAAGAATTTGCCGATGGAACTCGACATTTTTGTTAAAAATTTTACTTTCGTTCAGTCGAAAATATCAAAATAATATTTTGACAAGTCAAAGTAATAAATGACATTTAACAGACGTCAGAAATGTCAAGTGAGCATCGCTGGCAAAAGCAAAGCATTATTCAGCCTAAATTTGAATCACAACACCGTCCTATCTCCCTTTTGTTTTTTCCATTCAACGTGATTTTGATGAAATCGAAGCAATCTGTGCTCAACTGGCACTTCAAATCAATAAAAAAGTTTTATTGGTCTGAGACTGGCACGCTTTAAAATTAGTTACTAGTTCTTTAGTCTGTGTTTGAAATCATCATAATGAGTATTGAATTGAATGGGAACCAATAAAATATAGCAAATTATTGGACGTAAAGTCATTATTACTTATATTATTTAACTTACATTGTTTTGAGTCACCATACATCGAAATGAAAAGCAACCGCTTATTTAGAATATCACCAAATCAAATCCAATTAAAATCGATATAGCCTTTCATTTTTCATTCACAACCAAACAGGCAAGTAGACAAAAACTAAATAAATTCATCGAAACTTTTCGTAAGATTAATATTAATTTCGCAGGTGCTACATTATTTTTTGCATCTAATTGGTATCCAATGAATATAAAGTAGAAAAAACAAAAACAATGAAATGAATTTTGATTTACTTGAATTAGGTTTTAATAAAATTTTTGAAATTGTTAATTATTTTAAGCCATGAAAGAATTAGCCACATTCGTTCATGTTTTAAGCAAAACAAACTGCCACAGACTAGGAAAATACAGTTTCAGGAATATTCAATAATTAATGTGAATAAAATATTATATTTTATAAATCTCATTTATTAAAAAATTATCAATAATATATAAAGCTTTCACTTTGATGATTTCAATTTCTTTTTAAATTTTTTGCATATTTTTTCTGGTATTTGATCTATTTCTAAGGTAACTTTCAAATCATCTGGCGTAATATTTGTACAACTTTTTTTTCGCTTCTTTTTACTAATTTCATTTTGAATATTATCCAGTCTATCTTCTTCTTTCTTACATTTATCTACTAGAGTTAATTTTTCTTTTTTAGTACATGCATCTATTGAAAGTTCTTTATCCATTTCTTCTACAGATTCATTGTTTTTCTTTTTCTTTTTATGCTTTTTAACATGATTTGAATCAATTTCATTATTATCGAATCTTTCGTTTTTGATTTCACTTTCATTTTTAAAAGCGTCTTTTATTTTATCTTTTTTTCTCTTTTTAGATTTTTTATCTGTCTCATCTTCTTTCACATCACTAATATTATTATCATTAATATTATTTTTTTCAGAATCTGAATTCAAACTACTACAACGTTTTTTCTTTTTCTTTTTTTGTTTTAATGTGTTTTGCTCTTGGTCATTATTTAATAATGTATCTTCTACAACTTGTGATTCACTTGTTTGCTTTTTATTTTTTTTAAATTGAGAGTAGCCATTGAATCTTGATTCTTGTAAAAGTAACTGTTCTTGCTGTTCTATTCTCGCTAGTTTACCCAAAGCTCTTAATCCATGCCGCGCGCCCCTGAAAAAAAACAAACAATTAATACAATTTTTATATAGTTTTCTAGTATTTTTATAACATTAATATAAAATCTGATTTTAAAATTATGAAGAAATATCTAAATAAAAGACTATTAATTAAATAGAACCTTAAAATTTGAAATAAAAAAAAATCGAAATTTTTTGCAGTTTTATTCAATTGTTTTTCATGATCATTTAAAGGTTTAGGATCAACAAAAATCAAAATACAAAACGAGAAAAAACCATATATGTAGTTGCATTTAAAATGTCAAATATTTGCATAAATCTAAGAAAGTTCTACATAAAACTATTAAAATTTATAAAAAAAGTAATTATAAAACGGTCTAATATTTTCATATGTTAGTTTAAACACCAAACTCAAACTGACATCTGCAAGGAACAACATTGTAGTAACCCAGTATTGTGTGAATTTGGGTTTTTAATTGCCGCGGCCAATAAAGACACGAATCTAAAATGTCTGGATATTTGCAGTTTGACAGATGATAAGGACTCAGAACAGCAATACTGTAAAAGCCCTCGAGCAATAACAAACAAGCATGGAGGACTTGTATTGAACTGAACCAATAAACCTATAGTTTTCACTGCTTTATCTTACTAAGAGATAACGTAAGTTACAGAGACAAGTAATAATAAAGAAACTATTGTCTTCAATGATGTAAAGCCATGTTACACTTGTCAAAGTAACCAGCAGCCAACGGTGTTTTTGATATGTATAATTATTTTCATGATAAATAAATAATTAGATGTAACAGACTTTCTTTTAAGGTAACTTGAAATATTTTGTCTCGATGGCTAGTGTGGTAACAACCATAGTTCAAAGAGACGCGTAGATAGTCTATATATAAATATAGTAATTCTATACCATACTCAATTTCATTGCGATTTTAAGAAAGGAGAAATTGTGTACCTCTGTCTCTGTCCCTCTCTTTGAGAAGTCTATAAGAAGGACATAATCAGATATATTGTAAATGTTCAATTAAATACATATTCTCTATGCTTGTTATTGCTTGAAGTTATCAGCAATAGTGTGCAAATGAGAGAGCTTGATCGACGCCATTTTAGATTCGATTCTTTATTGGCTTTTATTAGGAATTATTTCTATTTTTAAACTGCCTCAATGTTGAGTTACAATGTTGTTCTGTGCAGCCAATAAATACACAAGCATAGATATTTTGTACTTGGAGATACTATAATGCAATATTATAACCAAACTTTTGTAAAAAAGGTACATATATTTTAAAATCATTTAAAGAAAAGTGTATTTTTGTTATGTTTATTGAATTCTATATATGGGATTTACCGATTCATTAAAAAAGCCTTTAGAAAATAAAGTGCCTCCTGTTTTTAAAATTCGGCCAATGAAAAAAACCAACAGAGTTTCACATTCGTAACATTAATTAGCAATAGTAAAAACCTTAAACATACTTATGTGCAGTTCGGCCTCCACATGCAGCGAATAACTGCTCATCAGTCATTTTCACTCCACCGTCGCTCTCATCACTTGTCTCCGAATCTTGTGTCTTCACAATCTTCAATCCATCATTGTCTAAAACTTCTGTTTTCACAAAAAAGTCTACATATTCCTCGTTTGCATTTGCATTTATTTTATTTTTCAAATGAAATGGACTGTTAGTTATTTCAAAGGTATCATCCTTGCATTTGATCTTTTTAGTTCTTCCCTTTTCATCTTCTACCTGTAAAGTATAAATTTGAGGCAATTTTATACCCATTTAAGTCGTTTCATTGTTAGATACATTTTAAATAAATAAAAATAGTTATCGAGTATAGACTTTTCTGTAGGTCTTTTTAAGAGCTACAATTTTGTAGTACAATGTTTTGATGTATCTCCTATGGTTCCATCAGAGTTCCGCACAAAATAATTAAACACCAATAATATTATGTACAAACTGTAACTAGGAGTGCTCCAGAGTGAAGCGAGGGCACGTCACTAGTATATTATAAATAAACAATTAAATTAAATGCAAAACACTAACCTGTACATTACTTGCTGCTTTATTATAGAGTTCACTCCACCAGTGCTCTGTAAAATCTTTCGCAGGATCGTAACCTACACCTGTCACACTTCTTTTTAATTTTGGTTTAAGCGCTTCTGATATGCCAGTCTCATTTTTGCCCAATCCTTTACCTGTAAATGATATGAAATATAACAATCAATTTTATATGCAATATTTATGTATAAAAGCATGAAAAAAAATTTAAATCATTTTCAATAAGTAGTAATATCTAGGTTCTTATAATAATTAAAATTTTACAATTATATGAGGGTGAGTATCTAGTAGTCGCTTCACTCGGATTCATCCCATATCAAATATATTGCAAGGGAGCCATACATATTTCCAGGATAAAAAGTAACCTATATGTTAAGATTATCTCTGTTCAAAATTGTACAAACTTTCATATTAATAATATAAGTAGGATTTATGGGATAACATTATAATTTAGTTAAATACACATGACAACATCACATTTTATTTCCATAGTGTTGATATATAGCCAGTGAGTAGATAAGAAAATCTCCGATAGTTTAAAGTTTTTACTAATTTTGAATTCGAGCACATTTGTACTTTCATATAACAAGTAGGTTACATACTCAAGGAATGTTTAAATATATTTACTAAAATATTTTGCAGTATATTCTTTTAATTTTTAATTGTTTATATTATGTAAAATACAATAGATCAAAGCTATATATTATAACACACGATTAAAAATCCTTATATGATATAATAATCTAAGGCCCCAAGGGTATTTACTTACCATCAGTCCAACCATATTTTTCCAACAGTTTTCTTGCAAAGTCCATAATAGTGTTTTAAACAAATATAAGTCTATTTAATTTTCTTGTTAATAGCTAAGAATAAAAATAACATTTAAAATAATAACCTAAAACATAGCATGTTGATCTCCAAAGACCAAAACTGACAATTGACATAAGTCATAGTCATACAGTGTCAGTGTTGTCACTTATAATTTATAATGGATGCGTTCAACTAAGTGGGACCACAATGATCACGCTCACGACTGAGTTTTTTCCCATTCCACTTGATCCAGATTACTTAATGCTTATCAAGCCCTTTCATTTGATTAACATATCATAAGGATCACTATGGAAATAATAAATCGCCATTTTTTAACGTCCGCCATATTGGACTAAAAATCGTAATATTTATGGTAGGTTACTTTATTTGTGCTGTCACGCGGACCATACGTGTATGTCTTCTTCTTCACACTTTAATAAAGGAAGATTAATGACTAACTTTACACTGTATCCAATGATTAACTTAATACTGTAGGTCTAAATCTGTCGAATCGTAAAAAAATCACTCTCATTCCTCATTTTTGATAACGCGCCAAAAGCAGTATAATCAATTGACTTATTTGACTTAAGCATTATCAAATAAATAATTAAACTACAAAAATATTTTATTGAATAAAACAATTTAAATAACAATAACGAATCGGAATGTTTATTAGACTATAAAATTTTGATAATATAAATTTTGACTAATATAATATAAAATAAATTTTTCTAATAATTTTTCTGGATCAAAAATCATCCAGATCTTCTATAGTCGACTCATTGTTACTGTAACAAATTAAAAAAAACGATTAAAAATGCTGCGATAAAGGTTGATGGTGCATTTAAAATGGTCAATTCAAACGTTGGCCAAGTGCGAGTGGTATTCACGTAAATGAATGTAACAGGGAATATGCGTGTAATTTAAATAAAGGTAAAATATTTTTTGAATTATTGCTTCTGAATTAAGCCTATATTAATATTTTTAATGTAATTTCACTTTGATTAAGAAAATAATTATTAAAAAGTGCAAATATAGGTGGGAAATTCGAAGTAGTTGAAACCGTTCCATTGGTCAATTCGAATATGACGTCAGAGTATATCTTAACAGAGCGCTGTTATTTAGTGTTTGCAATTGTTACTAACAATCTAGACCTGTTCGTTTGTTGATTGCAATGTTGTCATAGACTGTGACGTCACGCCAAACGCGCCAAAATAGTGGGCGTTTATAGTATCCATATCTGTATATATTTAAAAACTTTTTTACTAAATTTTAGAAGTTTGGAGCTGGATATTTTTTTTTTCCAATTATATAACGACGTAAGCTATTGTATAAAAAAAACAAAACAACACGCATATTCCCTATTGAGCTCTGTTTTAGAGTTTCTTAGGTAAAAGGTAAAAACGATAAGTTCATAATGTTCATCTCCTTTAAACATTAAAAGTTAGAGGAGTGACCTCTTATTTTTAACGACAAAAATTTAGAGATAAAAGAGCGTCCAAAATATTTTTAAAGAAAACGAGATTTTTTATTTAGACTAAAAGCAGTCGAGTTGTTCTTGAGGTATTTTCGTGACCACTTGATTCGTTTATTTGTTGATTTTGAAGATGGGTAAATATTTTATATTATTTTTCAAGTATCAAATTATATATAAAACGAAAAATATGTTTAATGTTTCATGCTACGGACCGCTAGACTTGCAACACAGACTCGCACTTGCCCGACGTTAGTTTATAAAAAATCGTGAGAATGTTTCTTGTATCGAAAGCCTTATATAGTAATATAGATGTAAAATGTCATGTCATAAATAAAATTACTTAAAAAAACATCTTGAGAATAAATTAAATTAATAAAACATAGCACAGATAAATAATGATTATTAAAACATAAAAAAAATTATGACAGCGCCATTTTTCTTTCATTTGCACGTAAATTAGATTTATTAGGATGGTTATTAAATAACAGCTACCTCGGTGGTCTGGTGGCTAGTATGTACAGCTGCAGACCTGGAGGTCTATTGTTTAGACTAGAGTACCAGCTCGGATCATATCTATATAGTAATTGGTATTTTTGTCAATAAATATTCAGTAATAGCCTGGTTTTGTGAAGCTGTCGGGTGACATCCCAGTGTCGAGGCACTGCATTTGATCAATCACCGCGAGTGTTGAAGTAATGTCCCATAAGACATTAAAAGTAAAAGGGACAGAAAGTATTGATGTGTGCGCTCTCCCTCACATAGGAAGTAAAACTATCTTTTCGGTTTTTTTTTCTTTTTAGCAATTATGGTCACGGGAGAGAGAGGATAATTGCTGTAAAGTAATCGAAACGCAGGAAACCAAAAATTAAAGTAAATCCGAAAATACAGTTTTATTTTAAATGTTAAATATTCGCGTTATTTTTTTTAAATTAGTCTTTTAAAGTAATTACATTTTTAATTAAACAGTAAATATTTAAAGATATTTAAAATAATTTTAAAATTAAAAAAAAACCAACCAGCCTAAAAAGCGAACTAAAAAGATGAGAACAAGTTGACGAAGGAACAGTGCATCATGCAGTCAGAGACCGCCCTTCGTCAGGATTTTTATTCTTTTAATTATTTTTTTATTTGCAGATTTTTAGCTTTGGGCAGCTAGACATGTTTAGTTTTATATAACAATTTATTTTCTTAAATTACTTTTAAACATATACGTTGTATAATATATCTTTGTAATCGCCTCTTTAAAACCTGTTTTATGATATCCCACTCGACTGATGCGGACGGAAAAATATTTTTCAAGACACACATATTGGCACCTGAGATCAACCATTTTGAGTTTTTACCGTTATCTATGTCTATGACACTCTCGTTATGAAGACGGATCTAACAACGTATGAATCATCAAAATTGGTTAAGCCGTTTAGTAATTACGATGGAACGTAGGGTCGGATATACATACATATGTATATAAAGGTCAAATACATAATTCTCTTTTGGGCTTTGCCGCAGTCGGGTAAAGAGGTTCCAAACTGACTACAAAACTAGCCTACAAGATAACACCTACTAACTACATTTCTCTTACCAATTTAATGTATTCTCAAAACGTAGTTTATCATTTGACTTCAGGATAAAAGTTATCATTAGGATCTCTTTTGGACCTCTCTAAGTAGGGCAGCCCGTGGTCTCCTGATGCGGAGTAGCTTTCTAGCACTGGCTTCGAGAGCAGTTCCGGACGAAAGTTCTTAAGGAAGTACACCCAGCACTTTACAGTTTCTGGTTCGCAACATCTGCTCAGCAAATATTTTGTAAATATTAAAAATACTGTTTAAAATAACTTAAGCCCATGCTTTTGACAAACGTTATTGTACGTGATTTATCAAAATGAATCAAATGAACTCAAAGATTTTACTAGTAGCTATTATAGAATTCAATTATCCACATATGGCCTCCATAATCAGTTCAGCTCGATGGTAAATTGTTAATTTCATATTGCAATCCTAAATGTGCGGATCGATTAAAAGTGTGGATAGTATGTATAGTTGATTAATAGTCAAGCTATGGACGGTAGACATAAGGAGAACCGTCTGATGTGAGGTATAAATTGAGAGTGTCCATCAGAATGGTGCTAGCATAGGAAAAATGTAAGGATATGAATTAAGCAGTTGGAAAAGTGAGTGAAGTGTGCCGAGTTGAAATTTAAAAAAAAATCTGATTTTGTAGACTTGAGTAGTCATTGAAACTATTTACCGAGTCCAAAATAATTTAATAAATATAACATAAAAGCGTGTAGTGCTATAAACGTAGAGAGAGATTTATTTTTTGTGAACTTCCATTAATACTTTTGGCGCTTTTATTTCAGGAAAGAATATAATATTATATATCAATTTTGTAAGAAAGTAACAACGGTTACACCAAACAACTTTTACAATAAACAGTTAACAGCTAACTTCACCATGTCGCTTTTTGGCTGTCGGTGAGCGTGCGCAGCGTAAAAATTTTACTCTCATATTTTTTTCCAAACGTCCCGAAAGAAGTATAACTTCAAAAATATAATATAATTCTGTCAATGTCCAGAAATGCAAATTAAAACACTGCACCATCTTATTACAAAGCCGATTTTAAAATGTTCCATAAAAGAAATCATTATTTACATCAGATCCATACTATTATTTTATTTATATATATTTTTATAAACATTTAACCTCAATATACCAGAATCCAGATTGTGTGTTGAAAAGAAGAACTGTTATTTGAATACAACTAACGCATATTATCACATAATGAGTACATTTATAAGTTTATCTAGGTTTTTATATAGCAAGTTTTTATAAAAAATGTGGGATGTTGGCAATGTTACAAAGAGCCTAACGCATTTTAAATGTAAATTTAAATTTGCCTTGCTGCAGTGGGGCCGTTTCTTTCTTCATACAAATGCATTTTTATATAAAATTTAATTAAGTCAGAAAGAAACTTTAGTAATGAAATAAAACATACCCTTTGTCAGCAACAATTTCATCCGTCTCTCTAATATAAAAGTTAGGATGATCCTCTAATATATCCAACTTTTCGAGCATTGTTTCATCTACTTCATAGATTTCACCTGAAATTTTCAATTATCATTCATTAATATTGGCCTTTTAAATGTTTTAAATATGTTAGAGTCCTCTCTGCGAATTTCCAAAAAATTAATTGTTAACATACACACATGGGTGTGAATGCGACTCTCAATGGGCTAAAAAAAAATTGTTGTCAAGATGATTGGCAAAATAAGATTATCTAATTATTTTAATGTATAAGTTTTATATGAATTTTTATAAATACACACACTAGCATAATGTTTTAAGAGGAATATTACCTTTGACATTAAATCCAGTGCCGGGTTTATATAACAAAAATGGTATGTTATATTTTGTCCCTATAATCAATGGATATTTAACTTTAGTTCTTCCTTCACATATGAAAGTCCCGACACCATTCTCTGGATTGGTCAGCCAGTTGTGGTTGGGTTCGTTCCTCTTTAGTGTACCATACACAAATACTTTGTGAGTCATCTATAAAGGAAATTGATATTTATTCCATTTTCTTTGTATATCAATTTTATTTTTCTAAATTTCTAAACTGTTTTCTTCTTCGTGTACCTATACTTGCATAGATAATATGCATATGTAACTTTAAAAACGATATTGTGGAGCTGATTTAATAATGGAGCCAGAATGTGTGACTAGATAAACTACACAAAGAACCTTTACACAGCACCTGGACGACTGAGTTTCGGTCGGCGATTTTTTTTAATTAGTGTTTTTTTGAAAAATAATGAGAGTGCTTTTTTTCCAGTTAATACAACTATGTAGATAAACACAAAAAGCCAAACCTTCCCTAAATATAAATTTTCATCTAAATCGTTATAGAGTCGTTTCCGAGATCAAGAAATATTTTTTTTTAATTATATACAGAAATTGCTATATTAATATTAACTAAAACATCTTTTTGATATATTTTTTTTTTTGTTTATTTTAATAAAAATATTTTGTTCCTAAAAGTACATTTAATTATTACACCATTATTGTGTTACATAATAAAACTAGTAGGCTTTCCGTAAAATTTGATAAATAAAATATGCTTACGGTTTTACAGAATTGGCATAATTTGCCTTGAGCTTGTAAAAACACAAATTTAGTCAAATATCTCATTCATACATTTATTATTTTAATACAACGTATAAATTAATAATCATAATATATAAAACATTTTTAGATTTCGTAGTATAACCTATTTGATAAGTAAACAAAGAAAATAAATAAAATTAGCGATCAAAGTCAAGAAAAGGATACTTGTGACATTTATAGTTCAGTTCTGAATTTCAAATTGTGGTATAAGTTTAAAAATGTACAAAATTGAAAACATTATTTTATAAATAATTAAGCAATTGCTATTTTAAATACAATATACAAATATGTATATATTAAATTATAGATGGATCAAGATTAAATTGCATTTTAAGGTGGTTGAAAATTTTTAAACCAACCACAGAATATCATTGCCAGGTAACAGTATATTACTTCCTTATTTTTATTAAAAATACATTGAGTTGGGCTGTGTCGGGGCACACCGCCGTTCGCTTAACGTCTTCTTCTTCTCCCTGCCCATTTCCTAAGTTATTTGCGGTCAGCGCAGTAAGTCTTCATCTTAAACTCTCCCCTATTACTCATCATCTCATCATTCACCCCTTTCTCTTTCATATCCTGTCTCACACAACCTATACATATTTTCTTCGGTCTTCCTCTACGTCTCCATCCATCTATATTCATTTCCACTCAACTTAACGTAAAACGGTTTTTTATGAATACTACTTTACTATGACAATATAATGACAATATAATGCAACCTATTTCGTTTTAATTATCCGCAACTTATTTCGTTACGGCCCAATTTTCTGATCTGGTACCTGTATGTTTCTATGTGATTTAAAAACACGTTTCACGTCAAAAAATAACGAGGAATATATATAACAAAAAATCTAGATGTTTATTCTTTTGGCAGAGAACAGATTCTTTACCGGCAAGTTGCTGAATTAGCTTGTGTATGATTGAAAATTTTGGTAATGATTAAAGATATGAATTTTATGAAAAAAAAAAATGTTTTAACTAGAAAAAACAGCGCAGAAAGACTTAAACTTAACTATGATCCTAATAAACAAAATTTAGATAGATTTATCTCATTAACCCTCCTTGGGAATAGATTTATCTCATTCTTCTAAATAAATACTTAATGTAAGTTTCAGAAGTTCATTTGAACATTCCAAAAGATTTAAATAAACAAACATTCTTATTTTTATTTACCTTTATATCATAAAGATGGAACGTAAACAACATGGCATCACTGAGCAGGTGTCATTGACTGCGAATTGCGTTCGAAACTTCGTATTCGTCGTTCGAGTTTGTTCGTACGTAATAAAGTCGAACCTGTCGATTGTCGAAACTCGAAACCGTAGTTGGATATTTTACGTCCTGATGGGAGGTTCGCATCTCGTAAAAAAAATCTCTGACTTTTTTGTTATTGTGCTTAAATTTCATTATGCGCCTATTTAATATCCTGTGATTTATTTAACTTTATTCAGTGACTGTTAAAGTTTTTCTTGTGTTACATTATTATTAAAAAAAATAAAAATGAGATTGGCGGGTACGATTTTCAGTAATGTTACCAAAATGTTGGACTTTTATTCACAATTCAACCCATCACCGCTTTCTATAAAGCAGTTTATTGATTTCGGTAAGTGTTTATTACGTCTCTTTACAAATATGTAGTTTAATGCTGCTTATCGATTACAGTTACAGATTTTTGTCACACAAGGCCAAAAAAACCCTATCTCCTTGCTTACATATATTGTTTTACTATATCTCAAGCTTTAATATCTCACAAATTCATTATTTAATCAACTTAACTATCATATATCCTATGTTATATTTATGCCAAGGTCAGAGAGGTTGTTTATATATTTTTTTAGATTTTACGTAAAACTTGTTAATCAAAGTCTACACACGAAACTAAACTTTCCCCATCATTATTATTAGACATTTAAATATTTTTTTGTATGTTGTTATTTTTTAGTATCAACTTTTTTTATCGTGTGACGTATGTTGTTTATAAATATGAGAAATATGTAGTAAAAACTTTAGTTTTATTTCACGCTTTGAAGATAATTTTATGTAAACAAAATATCAACTATAAAAACTTAATTAAATATATTATAAAAAAATAAAATACATTATATTATATCTTAAACAAATTCCAAACGTTCGAGATTTATTTTAGGAAATATTATAATTGGACTTACTTACTTCTATTGCTTAGGTTTTTGTATATATATTTAATTGGGCCAATTTGGTTAAAATGAGTCATATGCAAATTAATTAAATAAACTCAATTTGTTTTTATAAACATTATGGAGATTACATAATAAAGTGAACAATTATTAGGTAATTGAATTTAAAAAAAATGTCATTAGTGAGTTGATAGTTGTATCAAAAGTGATATAGTATCTTGAGTAACTAAAAGGTTTCTGCTGGATTGAAGATAAAGGTTTTTTTGGTGCATGATGTAGGGCAGGCTGATTTTGATTATACTTATTTTAATGAAAACTGTTTATTTTAAGGATGATCTCATACAAATAAAAAAAAACTACTCATAAGTATGGAATAAGTTTGTTTGTTAAAAAGTAATTTGATTAAGTATCTATAATATAAAAATGAATCACTGAATGTGTTGCTAAGCGCAAATCTCGAGAGGACCGGAACCGATATCGCTAATTCTTTTTTTAGAATATTCCTTGAAGTACGAGGATGGTACTTACAGAGAGAAGAATTATAGAAAATGCCTGAAAAAGTCTAAAAAGAACACTTTTCTATACTCCCAGACAAAAGATTTGTAATAATACTCAAAAGTCAATTTGGACTTTAGTACCATATCATAAAGTTTAAGTGTTAGTGGAGAGGTTCCGGGAAGGCAAAACAATTGAGTGATGTTAGTATCATATAAATATTAATGTCAATATTTGTCAATATTAGTAACAAAAAATCAAAGTTTATATGGCTAACGCTGGCTAATAACTAAGTATTTATATCTATTTAAAGCGAGGGTGAGCCGCAAGTTTGAAATATAACTCAGTTATGAAAATCATTGAACAAATGAAACACTGTTTGCAACTTATTGTTATCTATACTAATATTATAAAGAGGTAAAGTTTGTGAGTTTTTACGTTTGAGGGGGTAATCTCTGTATCTACTAAACCGATTTACATGAAATTTGGTAAGAAGGTAGTTTGAGACCCTGGAAAGGACATAGGATACTTTTTATCCTTGGAATCATCCCTTAAGGGGGCTAGAATGGGGATGAAAGTTTGTATGAGGAAGCAACCTAGGGACAAACCTGAGCAAATCGAGGGTGAGTCGCTAGTTAGTGAGGATTTCTTACAATTGAGTCCCTTTAAAGTGATGTACAAAGTGTTATGTAATTGACTGGCATAGACTTTGATTAAATAAAGTTGTTTTTTATAATGATATATTATGTATATGTGTGCAACAGGTTAAATGTCAATATTCATTCATTTTATCTTATACTATAGCTACATGTTATGTTTGCATTCGGCAAAAGTTGGCATCACTTGTGATTTCGACACGTTCTAGTGATATAAGTTTCTATATTTTCAACAATTTCTCAACAAAAAGTTTTAAATCTTTTTTGTTGTATATTTATATTTTTATTACTCCTTTATAAGAGAGGACTAAAAAAAATTTCTTTGTTTATATACTAGCGACTCACCCGCGGTTTGTCCCTAGGTACGTTTAAACGGTTAGTAGGGAATAGACAGACTACGAGTATATATTTTAGTACACACACACATATATATATATATATACACATATATATATATATATATATATATATATATATATATATATATATATATATACCTTAGATATGATTCAGTTTTATAGCTCTTGAGAAATGAATCTCCATTTTGAGATTCTCCATGTAAACTTTTATCCCCCTTTTAACTTTCATCCCCCTTTTCAACCCCTTAAGGAATGATTTCCGAGATAAAAACTCCTATATCCATCCCAAGATCTCAAACTATCTTCATAGCAAATTTCATCTAAATCGGATAAGTAGTTCCAGAGATTACATTATACAAATAAACTCAAAACCTTACAAACGTCTTCTTAATAATATTTGTGCAGATTGTGGCTAAATAATTATGTATAGTGATGCAACCAGCTGTCAAAAAAAATCTTTTTTCTCCTCGAAACTTTAAATTAAGATCAGAATTTTCTAAATTTTTACTTCAAAATTTCAAATGCTTTAGAGCTTATATTCATTTTTATATATATAAAAATATTTACACATACACTTAACCTTTTTACTTATAAACAATAAACATCTACGAGTATAATATTATGTTATTTATATATTCGTAGTAGGTGCATAAAATTATATAAATATGCTATTGTTGAATGCAAAACATATCTAGCTACTTATTCTTTGAACAATAGCTGTGAATAGTGTAAGCATAGTGTTCACGGCTAAAATTGGGATAAAAAGTAATTTATATTTGACACTAGTGACTTAACCCCGCTTCGCTCGAGTGCCTCGATAAGTAGTAGTTTTTTTTTGAGCGGAACCCTTCTTTTATTACTTCTCATAACATCAGCTATCTGCCTGTGAAAGACCCGTCACAATCGGTCCAACCGTTTCAGAGATTAGTCGTAACAAACACAGACAAAAACTTTAAAAATTATATTTTTGTTATGAGCACCGTGAATAGCACCAAATGCATTTAGTATAAACTTCAATTTTATTAACCGACTTCCAATTCCAAAAATCAGGAGGTTCTCAATTCGTGGGAATCTTTTTTTTATGTATGTTCATCGATTACTCGAAAACGCCTGAACCGATTTGGAAAATTTTTTTTTTCAAAGTGTATACTTCCCAGGTGGTCCCATATAAATTTTATCGAAATCGATCGAGAGGTTTTAAAAAAAATAATCAATAAATATATTTTTTAAATAAATTGCTTAATACAATATGTTATTAAAAAAGTTTCTTCTTACAAATTACCTGCTTATTACGTCTATACTAAAAATGAGAAAATAAAAACTTTTTCACAAATAAAAAACCGACTTCCAGGCACTAAAATGTAAAAAATAACTAAACGGGGCTTTTCATTTAGAATAGATACCTAATCAGATATTTTCGAAGTCGGTGCCAGCCAACAATATTTTAAGATATGAATATCTATCTAATGGGTAAATATTATGTATTTTACGTATCGAAATATATTAGATTTGCTTTGCATCGCCTTGGAAAAAATCGGTTCTTATTACACTATGGAAATAAAATATATATGAAAAAAATAGGTCTTTTTATAACAGCTTGATAAAGAGTTCAAATTTTGACAGAATTATTTTTATTTGGTACTAAAATGATCCCCACGGTACGAAGACAAACCTCGGCGGAGGCAAATTTCATATATATATTTATATGAAAACTATACATATAATAAAAATGTAACTAAGCCAAATCTGTACATTATGTTTTTTGGAAAATCTTATTGAAATTAACATTATTATCGAATATCGATACAGAGACCGAATCTATAGTTTTTAGAATTTTTGTCTGTCTGTTACCGCATCACAGAAAAACTACTGGAGGGATTTTGATGAAATTTGGTATGGTCATAGCTGGTTATCCGGGTCAACATATATGATACTTTTTACCCCGAGAAATTATCTCATTTTTGAAAAAAATATATCAAAAACGGCAATGTAAGAGTATACCAATATGTAAAACCTAAGAATTTGGTTTTTGGTCATCTGAAACAGGCGGAGCCGCGGGCAATGCTAGTAATATACATGATAAATAAATAAAGAAAATAAATAATAAATCGTACTAGTGATCGCCTCGCGGTTGAAAATCAGCCATAATTTATTAAGTTTGATCGATATTGCGGTTCTTTTGTCAAAGTTATATAGATAGCCTTATAAAATCCAAAAGAATTTGAAACGGGCCCATAGATTCAGAGACTTGCACGTACAGACAAATCGGCCTCTGTATCGATATTAATGTCTATTTCAATAACATTTTCTAAAAAATATTTAATGTACAGATTCGGCTTAGTTACAATTTTGTTATATATATATATATATATATATATATATATATATATTATATATATATAGATATACGGCTTTACTCCAAGTCCATCTTTCTTGAATCGATTAAATATACGCAAAAGATTTTTGTAAGGACTACGTTTGTTCATTGAATGTATGAATGGAACATCTTATCCTGTGTTTTGTTTTTGCCTGGTGACCCTAGCTCTGACCTATATTGATATTGTTCACATGTTTCGTTGATGTTGATATTAGACGAGCCATTTAATATGTTATTCTATACGTCTTCCGTTGTTAATAGTACCTCTGTTGTATGGTTCATCTATATATATAAAAGAAAGTCGTGTTAGTTACTTCGCTTATAACTCAAGAACGGCTGAACCGATTTAGCTGAAAATTGGCAGGGAGGTAGTTTAGAGCCAGGAGAAGGACATAGGATACTTTTTATCCCGTTCGACCGCGTTCCAATTTTTATGATATTTTAATTTTTGGATTTCTCTTAGTCCGGAATAGGTAAGTATTAAAACATATAATTAAAATGTGAGAAAGAAAGATTTTTTCTTTTTATATCTATTTAAAACGTACCTAGCGACGAACCCG